CATCTTCTGGAAGAGGGTTATTTTTGGGCTAGCAAGTCTCTGGTTGGGGAGGAGTTTGGAATGTTTCTGGTTGGAGATGTTATCTGTGGTTAATGGTCATGCTGACCTTAGCCATTAGGCTGATGCCCTTTGGATTTAGGCAGTTTTTGATTAAGGTGAATTTTTTAAATGACAGTGCTTGTCCAAGATGGCGATACTCCTCTGTCAGCTAGAACCAAAGGTGAATACCACCACACCGGGCTAATTTTTAAATTTTTTTCCTGGGGTTCTCACAAATTTCAAACATAAGTAGGAACCAAAAGCAATTAGGCTAAGAACACAGCCAGAGACAAGGCACGGGAAGAGCCTACTTGGACAGCCATGACTGGCCATTGTCCACCCACTGCTGCTGGACTCTCACCTCCACACCAAGAACAGACCCTGCCCCTTCCTTTCTCTCCCTCAGGGGTCAAAGTCCCAGGCAGGACATCCCACTGGCCAAGCCCAGGCTATGTTGCCCAGGCAGATCTCAAACTCCTGGCCTCAAGCAATACTCCCACCTCAGCCTCCCAAAGTGTTAAGATTACAGATTATATGAGCCACTGCATCTAGACTGACCCTGCCCTCCTGATTCACCATTGAATCCTTAGCATCAAGCACAATACTAGACACATAATAAATGCTCCTTCAAAGTATGTTGAATGAATCAGTTAATGAATGAATGAGATGCATACAAATGGTACTATCATCCCCCGCAGTCACTTGGCCCCATGACTCAGTCATTCTTATCCCCATTTGGTCTGGTGTCAAGTCACATTAATTCTACCTCCATAGTCTAGGCCTTCCTTTTCTTTCTCCTGGGCCTTTGCAATAGCTCCCTGCAAAGGACATCTGTTGTTTCTGCATGCTCAATATCTCTTTCCTCTTATTTTAGAAACTGCTACCATTTGCTTATGAGAAACTATTTCTTCCATTCCCAGTAGTCTTGAGGGAACTGTCAGTTAAGGTCCTCTCCACCATTGCCAAGGGATGAACAGGAGATCCAAGCCAAGCCAGAGATTAAAGTCTTGAAATGGAATGACACAGATACAGAAATTGGTTGGAACTGAGTCATTCAAATCATAGCATCCATAAGAAATTGCTTGTTGGGTTTTGGGGTTGCCTCACCCACGTTTACACTCAAATGAGGGGATAACCACAGAAGTAAGGCAGAGGGAGATCAGAATATCATTTTTATTAACAAAGCTGCTTGAGATATGCATTTACCGATAGAAAAGCGGGGTTATGAATTCTGGACCCCCAGGTTAAACTTTTCCACTTGGTCACAGGCAGTACTAGAAAATCATCATAGTCCTCTCTCTTTTTCTTTTCTTCTTTGAGGTGGAGTTTCACTTTTGTTGCTCAGGCTGGAGTGCAATGGCATGTTCTCGGCTCACTGCAACCTCCACCTCCTGGGTTCAAGAGATTCTCCTGCCTCAGCCTCTCAAGTAGCTGAAACTACAGGTGCCCACCACCACACCCAGCTAATTTTTGTACTTTTAGTAGAGACAGAGTTTTGCAAAGTTGGCCACACTGCTCTTGAACTCCTGATTTCAAGTGATTCATCAACCTTGGTCTCCCAAAGTGCTGGGATTACAGGTGTGAGGACTGTGCCTGGCCAATCATAGTCCTCTCTGTGAGGGCTAGACTGTGGAAAATGTATTAATAGAACATGGAGGAAGAGGGCAAAAAATCGTGCTTCTTAAGGGCAGGCATATTTGAAAGAGAAAAAGAGAGGAGGAACTGAGTTGTGCTTTGCTTCTCCCCATATACACTAATGAGATACAGGTTGAGTATCCCTAATCCAAAATGCTTGGGACCAGCAGTATTTCAGATTTTGGATCATTTCCAGATTTTGGAATATTTGCATATACTTAATGAGATACCTTGGGGATGGGACCCAAGTCTAAATATAAATTCATTTATGTTTTACATAGACCTTATATATACATAGCCAGAAGGTAATTTTATATAATATTTTAATAATTTTGTGCACAAAACCAAGTTTGTGTATACTGAATCATTGGAATACAAAAGTGTCACTTAGACATCCATCTGGAAAATCTGATTGTTCAGCATCACCATCATTCATGACTCTGAATTTATATGCTGTATCATTTTTTTTTTTTTTTGAGATGGAGTTTGGCTCTTGTTACCCAGGCTGGAGTGCAATGGCGCAATCTCGGCTCACCGCAACCTCTGCCTCCTGGATTCAAGCAATTCTCCTGCCTCAGCGTCCTGAGTAGCTGGAACTACAAGTGCACAACACCGTGCCTGGCTAATTTTTGTATTTTTAGTAGAGACAGTGTTTCACCATGTTGACCAGGATGGTCTCGATCTCTTGACCTCGTGATCCACCCGCCTCGGCCTCCCAAAGTGCTGGGATTATAGGCGTGAGCCACCGCGCCCGGCCTCATTTTTTTACACTTATTCACATATAAATAGTCAGCAGTTAAAAAATGACCTACCATTAATACAGTAAAAAACTAATGTGTTCAGGGTAAATAAGCAGCATAGTAGCATCATCAAAATAATACCTGGAGATGCTGAAGAAACTGTATCGTATGTCCGTGTTTTGACTGGGACCTGTCACACGAGGTCAGGTGTGGATTTTTTTTTTTCAGAGACAAGGTGTTGCTCTGTCACTCAAGCTGAAGTGCAGTGGCACCATCATACCTAGCTGTAGCTTTGAACTCTTGGGCTCACACAATTCTTCAGCCTCAACCACAGTGGTGCCATCATAGCTGGCTGCAGCCTCTGACTCCTGGGCTCGAGCAGTCTTTCCACCTCAAACTCCCAAGTAGCTGGGACTCCTTGAGTGTACCATCATCCCTGGCTAATTTTATTGTTAGCAGAGGCCAAGTCTCACTAGGTTGTCTGGGCTGGTCTCAAATTTCTGGCCTCAAGCAATTCCTCCCACCTCAGCCTCCCAAAGCGCTGGGATTACACGTGAGAGCCACCATACCTATTAGTGTGGAAGTTTCTACTTGGGGCGTCAGTGCTCAGAAAATTTCAAGGGTCAGGCATGGTGGCTCATGCTTGTAGTCCTAGCTACTTGTGAAGCTGAGGTGGGAGGATCCCTTGAGCCTAGGAGTTGGAAGTTACAGTGAGCTATGATCGCACTGCTGCACTCTAGTCTGGGTGACAGAGTGTGACTCTGTCTCTAAAAAGAAAAAGTTTTTAATTTTGGAGCACTTCAGTGTTCAGATTTTCAGATTAGGGATGCTCAACCTGTGTATCATTCCTCCTCCTCTGGGGGCATTAGGTGGTTGAAGGGAGGGGAGAAGAATGTCACTCTAAAGGAGTTCCCTCCACATGGAAAAAACCGGGGCAGGGTAAATGTTCCCCTCATCACAGTTTATTCATTCCTTATTTCCTTATGTCTAGATTACCCAACACAGCCCTGGCTCCTAATCACTTCCAAGGCCTGTGGTTGTACAACTGAATCCTCTCAGTGAATTTTGGTTTTGCTTCATGTAGCTAGAGTCTATCTCTATTGCTTATATCCAAAGAATATGTACTAGTTTCCTATTGCTGTTAGTTTCCAAATACCACAAACTTGGTGGTCTAGAACAACGAAAATTTATTACCTTAAAGTTTTGGAGGCCAGAAGTTCAGAATAGGTCTTATGGGGCTAAAATCAAAATATCTTCAGGCTCATGTTCCTTCGGAGGCTCTGGGGGAGAACCCATTTCCTTGCCTTTTCTGACTTTGGAGGCTGCCATCATTTAGTAACTGAAAAGCAGGTTAGTTGCTCACTACATTCAGAGTCCAATTAAAAAGAGCAAGGTCTGAGACGAAAAAATGAATTTATTTGGAAGCTAGCTTGGGGAAGGGGCACAAAGCATCCTGCTTTTAAATGTGCCACTTCCCTTTTGGAGCAGAAAGCGGGCCTTTTATAAGGTGGTGGGAGGAAGTGAGCAGGGGGAGGAAGGTGCCCATTAGTTCTGGTGGTTTATCTACTGGGCAGTTGAGTCAGTGCCTTCCTGGGCAGAAGTAAGTTGTAAAAGTGGCCAAGTGGGCATGTTTTCAACATGCCTTCCGGATGGGTGTGAGTTCGAAGCAATCCCCCAGAGGGTGGAAGTTCCAAGGTGAAAGTTCCCTGGCGGCCATGCTTTGGTCTGTTAATTTTCCAAGAATTAGACGAGCTTGCGCTGAAGGGAGTGCCTAGTGAAGGAGTGGGTAAAAGGCTATATTTGAATTTCTAAAGGGCTAAATCAGAAGTGGGGATCAGCGGAAAAGGAGAAGAGAATTTTTTTTTTTTTTTTTTAAAAACAGAATTTCGCTCTTGTTGCCCAGGCTGGAGTGCAATGGCACCAACTCAGCTCACCGACCGCAACCCCTGCCTCTCGGGTTCAAGCGATTCTCCTTGCCTCAGCCTCCCGAGTAGCTGGGATTACAGGAGCGCGCCACCACTCCCGGCTAATTCTGTATTTTAGTAGAGACGGTGTTTCTCCATGTTGGTCAGGCTGGTCTTGAACTCCAGACCTCAGATGACCCACCCGCCTCGCCTTCCCAAAGTGCTGGGATTATAGGCGTGAGCCATCGCGCCCGGCCCGTTTTGCCGTTATTTTATGGCTTGTCTCGGGCTTTTGGGCTGTTACAAGTGCTACAATTAACATTTGTTACACAAATCTTTATTCATATCCTTGATTTTATCTTTTGAATTCCTGGAAGTGGAACTGCTGGACCAAAGAGTATTTAAAACATATTGCCAATTTGTCTTCTGAGAGTGGTTTTACCCACTTAAACTCACACCAGCAACTTAATAGGACTTCAGTGGAGTTGCTGGTGTCACCAACTGTCAAATACCGAACAGATCTTCCCGCCAGACGTCTCGTCCCTCTTCGCGTTTTCCCGCCCACTCCGCACACCCGCCGCCCGTAGTGCACGCTGTCCCGCCCCTTCCTTACTCCCTCACCAATTCTGTCCAATCAAAAGCAGTCTTCCTCAGTATCGCCGTGCGGTTGGTAAAATGAAGTGTCCGTCGTGCTCAGAGGCGGGAGGAACGGGCTGACTGACGCGGCGACGGGCCAGTGTGAGCAGCGAGTGGGACGTGCGTGGCGTGCGTGGCGCGATGGCCTGGAAAGCACTGGACCTGTGAGGTGTGCGAGCGGGTGTGAGAGACTTCCGCGGACATGGCTCCCAGCGTGCCAGCGGCGGAACCCGAGTATCCTAAAGGCATCCGGGCCGTGCTGCTGGGACCTCCCGGGGCCGGTAAAGGCACCCAGGTGAGCGGCAGGACTGGGCTTGGCGACAGAGCCGGCCGAACTCCAAGGTCAAGGCGGCCGGAGATCCAGAAGCCCTGGACCTGCCTGGAACGGGCCGGGGATTGAGGCCTGCGGGGAACGCTGGCCGAGGTCTCGGTTCTGGTGAGGCATTTCGAGGAGGGTCCAAATTGGAGGTCGAGGCAGTCGACCAAATTGGAGGTCGAGTTAGATTGGAGTGCCCTAGGGATTCAGTGTTGAGGCGCTTGCTGTATTAGGGAATCTAAAGGCTGATTAGCTCCACTAAGGGGTTAGAGACTGAAAAGGTTTGAGGGGTAGTGAGCCCTGGGTTGAGGTGTCTAGATTACAGGCTGAAGGGTGACAGTTAGCTGTATGACCCAGGTTCCCTGCGAGTTGGAGGTGAATTGTCCACAATCAGTGTTACATTCCAGGCACCGGAGGTCGGGAGACTTTTTTGATAATGATTTTTTTTTTTTTTTTTTTTTTTTT